CCTCTTTTCCTGGTGAAAGGCAGAGATCTGGAAGTCAGTCAGCCCCACTTTTTCCTGAAAAAAAACTTGAGGCAGCAGAGAGAATAAAAGAGTTGCGGCGTTCTGCTACGAGGAAGCTATATACTTATGTTTTGCCTACTCCAAATGATGTTAGAGACACCTCTCAGACAGTTACAGCAAATCCTACTAGTGGATCTCCTCTTGGAAACAAAGGTGCATTCTATTCATCTCCACTCCAGCCAAGTACAAATGTGGGAGATTTGAGAGACAATAAGCTACCAAGTCCTACCAGATTATCTAATGCACATTCAGTTTTGAAAGAGAGCAATACCAATACTACAGACACCAGGACAATGCTTGTGCTCCCTTTGGGTGATCTCTCTTTACCTGGTTATCATGACTCGAAGGCTTCTGACAACAAAAAGGTGAAGAGAGGATCCTTTTCTGGTCCTATTGTTCCCAGGTCAAGGTCAACAGAGAATATTGATGTTGTTTCTGTACCACCTAGGCACAGCTCTTCACATCAGCCGTCAATACATGTCAGAGTTTCTCCCAATACCTCGCCACCACTGTTGTCCTCACCTAAAATCAAGGAGCTTCATGAGCTTCCTCGGCCACCTGCTAATGCATCAAAACATACAACATTTCCCAGTTTAGTCGCCCACTCTGCACCGTTGGTGCCAAATTCTGCTCCTTTGGCACCCAGAGGCCAGGATCATTTTAGGCCGAGGCAAACACCACCAAGTGCTCCCCAAACTGCATCACCTTTACCGACACCACCTGGGCCTATATCCCGCAGTTTTTCGATACCTTCTAGGGGCATGAGAACATCAGGTATTTCAGATGGTAAAGAGACAGAAGATCTTCAGGATAAAGGGCCTGCCAGAATGAGCCTTTCTAGTCTTCCTTCAGCACAAACATCGTTGGAGGATCATCGGCCATTGTCAGGAGCTACCGAGTCAGTTAGCAAAACATAGGGTGAGTCTAGTTTTCTGTAATACAACGCCAATTTTGGTAGAAACTTCCTTATAAGCAATTTATTGTTTTTAGTCCATCCTTAGTAGTTCATGTAAGAACATCAAGTTTGGGTTACCCCTTGAAGATTTTTTTTTTCTGTGTTAGTTCGGAGCTTACTATCATACATGAGGGCGAAAACATCAGTGATGCTGTTTGGACTATAGAAGTTTTTTCATTTGCATTTATTTGGTTGCCATCACTACTGGCCGCATAACACAATATGGATGTATATGCACACATACATTAATAGATGTGGATACAAATGTATTATGGCATTATTTCAAGTGATTTTAGTTCCTTTTGAGAGTTAAGATGAACTAGAACAGGTCCAAGTAGAAGGTAGTTTGTCAAGCACCTTCATTTTATTGTTGTGACATGTAATACAATGGCTCTATATCAGACTAATCCTTTTTCTCAATTACCTTCCCTTGGCAGAATATTTGGTGTTGAGGTGAAAGTTTATTTATCAAGGGGCTCAGCTATCTCGCCATGGAAGAATATTGTACATATTAGTATGTGAACTCGGCCAATATTGCAAATTAGTTGGTGTTTCGTTTGTATCCCCCATGGTTAAGATGTAATTGTGCAAATAACGAGTTGTGGAATAAAATCTCCATTTTTCTCTCCGATTAATTGATGTAAGATTTGTTTGTTGTGCCCTTGAGATGACTTGAATGCCACCTGTTTTCCACTGCTCATGTAAGCATCCTCCATCTTAATTTTTAACATGAGGGAGTCAATTTTGCCAAAAAAGAAAAACACTAGTGCTGTTATTCATGGAATCTGCATGTATCATTTATCACCTTATGACAATCTTTACCATCTGTGTGAACTGCTGGGCAATAATTGGCTGTGGCAAGAGAATGAAGATGTTTCATGAGAGTTAATCTACTTCTGTCCAAATATACAGGCAGTTTGTTATACTTTTGAGTGTATTCTGCACCAACATTTCTGGTTGCAAAATCAATAGCGTAGAACCTGAACAAAATCAACATTTACCATGTGCAGTACTTTTTCTAAGCTGAAGTTAACTCCATAATTCTGTACTGTCAGTTAGATTGATCACATTACGACATGGGACGTACCAGGTTGTACCGATGAATAGCTTCAGAAGTACGAAAGGTGTAGTTTCTTCAACTGGGTCGTATTTGAAGAAACGATCAATTAATTGTAAAGTCTAACAGGTGCGGTCAGTACATGGACCAGCAAGCAATTGTGTAGCTGTCACATGCCTCAATCATGAACGCCAAGGACAATGCTAGATCAGAAGCTGGAACTACCTGACAATCTTGGATCTGTATTTGATGGTTTTAATTCAATCTGTTTGCTTCTCAGACAGGGTTATTTCCAGCTATTTGTTTTTATTCTAGTTGTTACAAATGGCAGGAGGAGTGGACTGACTGAATTGATCAAAAAGATTATTATTCAGAGCAAAACTGAATTACATGAAGCTGTCCAAGACCAAGCTTGGCAGCTTGGGTTGTTCGTTTTAGGAGAATGGAATGGCATCACGCTTCCTGATCTGTTAAACACTTAAACGGTATGATTTAGAAATATATTATATATGAAATTCTTATAATATTGGTTTAAATTCATTTTTAACTTTATAATAGTTAATTCATTCATTTGTACACTTGCATAATTATATTCAGTATTGCATTCCATTCAACCCAAATGAACACTCAATTATAAATAGACGATTATAAGGATAAAATGCATATCATGATGTTAACAAATAGCTTTGAAAAAAAGTTACCCAAACAATACCAATAATAAAAGTTTTTTTGAGAAATATTACCACCCTTTTATATAAGTAGTTCAAAATTGAACTAATCAACGTTAAACAAAGAAAATTGAGAGGGGAGGAAAGAAGAAGATTGTGAAGATACGTAAAATCAGACGAACCATTAGTACATAATTAATTTAGTACTAATTATTTTAAATTTGGGAAAATGGATTTGTATGATTTTTAAACTGACTTTTATATATAAAGTTTTTTTAAAAACGAACTGTTTAGTAGTTTGAGAATCGTACACGTGGAAAATAAGTTAAATCTTCTCTCAATCTCTAACCAAACCAAAGAACACAGTCTTAACAGGGTTGGTGATATTAATGTGAACTGAATTGAAGATGTTCAACTGGTCACTGCAATCTCATCAATTGATGATGTCTTTGATGCCGAGTAAAAAAAAAAGAGTGAAGCATATCTTTGCCTTCTTTTGCCAATCTGGACAAAGAACCGACGGCGTCAGCGGCAGGGAGAGACCGGAGAGACGTAGCTGCCGAGGCACGCAACGAAAAACACAAAAAGAAAAGCCTTTGGTTTTCACGTGCCTGGTCGGTGGCCTTGCATTGGCTGCGCCTGCACATCTTTGACGTTCCTTTTCCATTGGTTTTCCCTGTGCAGCCAGTACGGCTGCTCTCCCTTTTTCTTTCATGCCAAAAGTTGGGTTGGGGAGGACCAGAAGCATTGAGCAGCCACCCAACAACGTACTGTATGAATGATGCGGCAGCGGCAGCAGCGACGTAATCCCTCCGTCTTAAAAAATAATTCGTTAATCCACCTAAAATAACGAATTGGATAATCTTTTATTCAGATTTGTTGTTTTAAATGAAGTCACATTTTTATCTATGTTAGATTTTTTTTAGACTAGGGAGATTAGCCGTGCTTCTTTCTTTTTTTTTTTTATGTATGTATGCTTCTAAAGAACTGTACGGGATTCCATCCTGCTTGATTTTCTCTTATAAGTTTGGTACTACATTGCATACTGAGACTTGTGCATCAGGTTAGGCTGCCTAGCATGTCCATTTGAAATCGGGACAGAGCTAGAATGAAACAGCAAAGTGGGACTCACGTATTTTACTCTAGTTTGAACTGAGTTTAGGTTGATACGTGTGTTTGAATTTGAACCCAATTGGATGCACATATACGATGAAAATAGATAAACTATAAGTTGTAAAAAAAATTAGACCGAATTCATGAGCACCTCCTAACCTAATGTAGCTCTTCCACAGTTTGGAATACTCCCTCCGTACTCGTAAATAAAGTCGTTTAGGACAAGGTTGAAAACAAACATTGGGAATATAAATCATGAATAACTCTCAAGTTGTTGAGTTTGAAAATGTAAAAAATATATGAATAGATTTGTCTTGAAAAATACTTTCATAAAAGTATACATATATCACTTTTCAATAAATATTTTTATAGAAATAATAAGTCAAAGTTGTGTTTTGAAGACCGTGTCGCTATCCAAAACGACTTCCTTTACGAGTACGGAGGGAGTATATTTTTCTTTATATAATAATAAATTAAAAAACCCAGCATCTATGTATAGTATACCAAATCCACTTGAAATACACGGTTGTTCTCTGTTCGTCCAAAAACAAAGAGAATATGAACACTTCCTTGGGATGTTTATTGAAAAAACTGTAAAATTCATGCGTCGCAAACTAGCTCCAATTTGAACTCTGCTTCAATTTTTTGTGATTCAAGGATGATGATGCTTGGTTGTCTAGTTGTAATTAGACAAGCAAATAAGTTTAGTAGATACTAATATACCTTTCCAAAAAAATGTACTAGCTATCTAGGAGTGGATTTGACACCATCTAGAACTACCAATGTGGATTACTGATAGCTATATTTCAGGAGGTAGTATATATTACCAGTATTGCTACATTGCTATGTCTCAAATCGTCGGTCTAATATCTCAATTTCACACGATCCGATCTAAATCCTCTTAATAACTCAATCCAACAGTGAGATATCTATCGCTCATTGGTTCAACTTCTACATCAAAAAATTACCATTAGGTGCCCCCTATATCTATAAATTCATGATAACTTCAATCAGACCTAACCTTCACAAATATCAAAAATCAGGGCCCTCCATCTCTCTTTATCTACGGTCAGGATCGCAAAAAAAAAAAAAAAACAAAAACAAAAATACTGCTTCAAAAGGAGACCTTCAGTTAAAAAAAAAAAGAAAAATTGCCGGAGGGGAGAGAAAATCCATGGAATCCGCCTATTTAACCATGAGAAGGGAGAAGCGAAGATAGGAGAGAGAAGAACACCACCACCAATCCACCATCACGAGGAGGAGGAGAAGAGAAGACGCGCAAGCGAAATCCAGGGGAGGAGGGCGAGCGAGAGAGAGAGAGATTCTCGCGGCAGGAAATGGCCCATTCCGCTTGCTGCTGGTAATTTTGCCTCTCTAGGCAGATGAGATGAGATGAGACCCCCGCGTGATTTTTTTTTTGTGGAGATGATCGGATCGAGCTCGCCCCCCTCAGATTGTAGAGATGGCAAACCGCGCGATTTGGCGGTTATTGGGAGCCACGATTGTTGTTTTTTTGCGCCCGATTTCGTGATTTTGGTTCGCGATGGCCATTCGTTTGCGCTTTTCTGTTTTGTTTTGAGATGGTTGGGGGGTGGGGGATCTCGGGGGGGGGGGGGGGGGGGTAGATGCGATTCTGTTTCTTCGTGTGTTCTGATCATCGACGCCGCGATCGCTCTGGGATTGCGGTTGATTTGTCCGATTTGGGGCGCGTCGGGTGATAGCTGCCAAGGGATTTTGTATGAACAGCGGTAGATTTCAGACAATGTAGTTCTGTAGCACTTCTTAGGAGCTTGGGATAACTTTATGGTTAGCGCATTGATGCCTCATTTATCAAATCTTCATTGCGCCACAACTCAATGTTGATGTGAAATGGATGTCTTATTTTTTGCTCTGCATTGCATCATGTTGATATGCTGATAGCCTGTTTGCTCTTTTGTGGTTGATAGTTAATGCTGTCATGTTCATTGTGCTAGAGAAATTATTGAAAAGCTTATTTAACAGTGTGCGGTGACATCCTCCGATTTGTGCTTGCAGGACTCTGATCTGATCTATTGGAATGGTTCATCCCAGGTTCCTTGTTGCTTGTTCAGGCTCCAAATTGTGCTTCATCTCCAATTGTTGCAGTAACTATTGGAACATGATTGGTGGTGGGATGGTGAAATCATTAGTGCTGATGGGGTTCGATTCAGAAGCCACATTGTAGTTTTAGCCTTCTTGTGTCATCATAGTTTAGCTGATTATTACTGGAACAATTGCTAGAGACTTTGTTGCTGAAAATAAGAGGCTGAAATGGATCATGGTAAAATCTGAATAGGAACAAAGTGTGGGCAAGAGGAAAATTGGTTTCCTTTTGCTGGAGTAACTCTAGTGAGATGGGTTTGCCTCAGGTTCCTGCAATCAAGGAGGAAGTGCTTCCTACAATGAGTGCATCTCTTATTGTTCGTCCTCATTTTGCGGGGAATAGCACCTGTCATTTGGGTAAGCTTCCTGCAGAAAGCTCAAGTAACAGGGCATCTCCATGCTCATACATCAGTGATTTCAAGAGAAATGATGTTTTAGATTCTTTGAATGGATTTGATGGCAATTTTAGAGCCAGCCATGCTGCTTATGGGCCTGCAGGCTTCCAAGGTCTAAAACCTGATACAGGGGATGTAGGTTCCAGATCAGGCCCTAAATTGGGATCAAATGTTCAGATGCCTGCAATGAGGATTGTTGGCTTTGAATCAGGTTTTGCTAATTCCACTGGAGGTCCTGATACGATGGTAGCTGACAATACGGATTCACCTTTAGTTATTGATAATTGCCATTCATTGATTGAACAGCATGGGCCTCATGCGAGGAAAAGGGTGTTGTCGCCTTTGAACAATGCGCTCCCTGGACATTTCCGAGGTGATGCCCTGAATATTGGTTCTGGTGATGCCAAAATTCAGCATTCTGATTGTGCTAGGAGACTTTATACTTCTGGCTTTCAAGATCGTAAAAAGGCAAATACTGCAATTCTTGATTCTTTTGAGGCACCTACATGGCCAGCTTCGAGATACTCCAACTGGAGTACAGAGCAGGGTGTCGATAAATTTAGTGGTAGTACATTCACTGATGGTCCTTTGCTTGAGAGCAGGGAGTCATTTCCTTGTTCAGATCACCTGGAAGCTCTTGAAAGTGTTGCTGTTCCACTTGCAAAATTGGCACATCCTCCTCTGCTTAATCTGTCTCCTCTTGGCCCAACATGGATGCATGGAACAAATACTGTAGGATCTCATGGAGAATCATTGAGAGAAACTGAAGGTTCAACCTGTGAAGGGTATTCAGAAGGTCATGGTAGGTCAAGGATAAGAGATGCGTTTGAAAAAACTAATATCTTACATGATGACTTTGATATGAGGATCCCTAAGAAGAGTTCAGATAGAAAATCTCAAAACTGGGGCCCGGAATCTGCCTCTGTATCCCCACGCATTGGATGTATTCGGAGTATTGGTCTCCTTCCTGTACGAAGGTCGTTAATTGGCTCTTTTGAGGAATCTCTTTTATCTGGTCGCTATTCCTGTGGAAAAGACAATCAGGTCCGTAGAATTTATACGCTCCTAATTTAGCTTTTAGTGGTGTACCATAAGTTGATATTTTTCGAGTGATGCCAGTTGATATTTCTCCTAAAGTGCAGAATATTGACGGTTTCCTTGCTGTCCTGAATGTGACTGGTGGTAACTTCTCTCCCCCAACTCAGAAGCTTCCATTTTCAGCTACCAGCATTGATGAGAACAGCTCCTTACTCTACTATTCATCGATCGATCTTGTGGGGAGGCTGCCTATGAGCAGTAGCAAAAGCCCAAAGCTCAAAAGAAGCCTGAGTAATCATGATTCACGATCAGCGAAGAGTCGGTTACGTATCCCAGTTAAAGGGCGTGTGCAGCTGGTACCATATTCTTGACTTTGAGATTTGCATTAATTCACTGTATTTTGCTCGATTGTTCATGATGCATTGGTGTGTATATATGTTAGTGCATATGCATGTGGGCGACATGCATATGCATGTACCAATTATGCACCACAAGTCTAGTTATTTATCATGGGATATTTACTCTCATACCATTATGGGTACTGGGGAAGCTATATTTGTAATGATACTTTTACTACTCTGCATCATGTCTCATTTTATGCCCTCCTGTCATGGATAGCTTTCTTTGGACTTAATTGCTTATTCTCAAATGGTTCTTCCATTATTTAGTCTTTTAAAAGATTTGTTGAATTGTCATATGCTTCGATGATGTGTCTATTTCACCAGAAGCATAACTCTTGACTTTGACAGGTTGTCAGTAACCCAGAGAAGACACCGCTACATACCTTCTTCTGCAACTATGATTTGAGTGACATGCCTGCTGGAACCAAGGTATGAGAAATTGAGAATTGTTATATTACTTTTCTTTTTGCCTCATAGACTTATACGCTGGTGGTAACTGCAAATGTTTCTGCATTGTCTTGGAGTTCCTATGATGGCATATTTATAATTGCCTATATGGACAATGCTGCCAGCCATCTAATTCATGCTGGACACATAGATGTGCTTTACACCATCCATGAACTTCTTATTTCTGGTTGTAAAGGTCTGACCATTTCATGCCATTGGTCTTACCTGGAGGTGATAATAGAAGTGGAAAAATAGAAGTCATCTATTAGTTTGTACTGAAGCAACACTAAGCATTTAGTAATTAATGATCCTGTTTGTAGCCACACCACCGGGTACATGTGATTTTTCTAGCCGCACAATTTTGCTATTCGCAATATATTTTTTGACTGGTTTGCAAAGTTTGGAGGGATTTCTGGTGTTCTTAAGCAGTTACCAGCAAAAAAAAAAAAGGGAGAACGGGCAGTGGAATGGTTCTTATTGTTGGATAGTATAGGAGAGGGGAATACTGCGTAACATGGGACGATAGTATTGAGCCTCAGGGGGCCGGTATATATAGGAGTACATGGGGAGGAGATAAGGAAGGATTACAGATATGGAAGGAGTCTACACAAATCAATCCTATCATAATATGACTCTAACTAGTAACTACCATATACTCTAACACTTATTTGTCCTAAATGGTTTCTTGAACCCTGCTTGGAACAGTACTGCTTCACTTGGCAGGATAAGAACTATCTCATCGTGCATGAAAGATGCCATTCAAAAGTAATGCCAGATGCACGTACGGTATTGTCTGTTTAGAAGGAACAAACATAAGATGTCTACGTTTACGGTTCAGATTTTATCGTTTTATTTCTTTATTTTTTTTCTCCTGAGGTCATCTTATTTCTGTTATTGTAAAATGGGACAGACTTTCATGCGGCAAAAGGTCACTCTGTTCCCTGTTTCTCCCTCTAATCAAAAGAAAGAAGGAAGCAAGGCCAATGAAACAAAGGTCGAGTCAGTCCAGTTTGGGAGTGAACTTAGAGAATGCGGCACTCTATTTTCTGAATGTAATGTAGCCATTACCTGTGATAGCTAAATCCAAATTTTAGAGTTTATAAATACTGACAAATTGTTGTTGACTATGCAGGCTGTAGACCAGGGCAGAACTGCAACTTGATCGATGACTCGGAAAAGGGCGGCCGCAAGAACATGACATGTTGCTCTATGGAGTGTGACATTAGAGAATCAAATGACTCTAGCTCTCTAGAAACTTCAGAAAATGGCAGTAGTACCAATGTTTGCTGTTGTCAATCAGACACATTTCCCTTAGGTGAAAAGAAATACTGCTGTAGATCGTCCAAGATCAATGATCCAGCTGGAGGTGCTCTTCGTTATGCTTTGCACCTACGATTTCTGAGCCCATTTGCCAAGAAACCGTCAAGATCTATGCAGCGTAGCAAATCTGATGTATCATCAGAACCATACAACCATAGTTCAGGGCCTGAGGAACACAGACGATTCTATCTCTACAATGATGTTAGAGTTGTCTTTCCTCAAAGACACTCAGATGCAGATGAAGGCGAGGTATGCAGCCCTACAGCAGCTACCCTGTTCTTGTTTCTTTCTACATCAGTAGGCTTAAGTAATTCTGACCAATAGCATTGCTAGCATGTAGGTTTCAGTAATTCTGACCAATAACATAGATAGCATGTAGGTTTCAGTATTTCATATAGATAAAGTTTCTCAGAACTGTTTTCCTTATCCTAATACTATGATGCATAACTCTTTCGCATGTTCCCAAGAAAAAAAAGACTTTCTTGTGCCCTTTCTAGAGGAGAGTTAGTTTATTTGTTTATTTATTTATATATTTATTTTCCCTCAACTCTGTTTTCTCTAAAGGACATTTTTTTTCCCTGCAGCTGCGGGTCGAGCACGACTTCCCTGCTGATCCCAAGTACTTCGACATAAGCAACTGATATTTACTCGCGCACTTCACATGAAATCTGTATATATCATACCCTCATTAACCCGTCCATCAATCCCTTGTGTTCATAAACATTCACCCATTTGTATAGGACTAAAATCTTCCAATGAAATACCTCATTTCGTTCAGAATCTTGTGCATAGTCTCTAAATAATGTTTTCACCATACATGGTGATGTTGTCATCTCTGTCATGAATGTATAGTTTTTTTTTGGTAATTTTACCATCCTTGAGAAGGTACCAAGAGGTAAATTTGATACCTCTAGGTATTAAGTACCTCGAGGTACCAAAAATTTTAATGTAAAATTTAGGTATCTCAAGGTACTTTCTCAAGGATTGTAAAATTCCTCATAGTTTTTTCCCCAGCAAAAACTCACAAAATGGAACAAAGATTGTAAACTGAATTTTATTAACCTCTATGGTCTGAATATTGCCGTCAAATTGACAAGCAGAATTGCTGAGAGAAAAAAACTGATAACTATGTGAAACAAAAATGCATGAAACAATATAAACAATTGACTTGAATGTACTCCTATCTAATTCTGCAAGTGACCATCTTAGTTCTCACGGATCAAATGTGGGAACTTCTGCATCAAGACCATGAACCATCTGATAGAGAAGCCTGGCGAGTATATTCCTGTAAGGGTCCTTCTCTCTTTTCTCCTTTAGATACTTCATGCAGCTCTCAACTTCGGACTTAACATTCAGGTAGAGGTGTTGGGCGTTCTCTTTGTCTCTTAGTTCCTTTTCTCTCCCTATGAAAACAAGCAAAAATCAGGTCTCGGAAAAACATCTTCATCACTTCATGTGTTCTAGCCTAGTAGCTTATCTTCAGATTGCCAAAAGAAAGTAAGCGTGTTTAACTTGTCATGAGACAGTGCGTGCGACAGGTATATTAATTGGAGATTTACTTGCGTAGTTCTTTAGAGATGTACCTCTTGTTTCAATTGGCTTCCCAAAGATGAAATAAAACCTCCCTGGTATCTTTGGGGCAGCCACTACTGGATGGATTCTTTGATATTTTAATTCTCCGGTAGAATCAGTCCTATGAAACCAAGAGGTAAACTGAGATCAGATCATTTTTTCTTCCAAAGAATTCTGGAGACATCATAAAAACAAACACTATAATTAAATTAAATCCAAACTCTTTTGACTTTTGTGTATGGGCGTATGGGCAGCATATATACCTTAGTTTCACACCATCTTCATTTAGCATCCTGTCAAGGATGTCATAGAATGGAATCTTCATAAGATCGTCGTAGTCTAACAACATCTGAGGTGGTACATCTGTCATTAGACAATAGAATAACCAGAAAACAAGGCAAAAAGGTGCCAACTTTTTTACTCTGAGCACCTATAGGAACTAAATTCCCATGGAAGGGAAAATTTCCTGCCAAATCTTGTCAATCCTAGTGATTACAGTTAGAATATATAGTGTAAAGCATAATTATCTATCCTTAGACCAAACATGTAGACAGCAAAGGTTCCTCGCAAAAAAAAATGTAGACAGCAAAGGAGATTTGCATCTATTAATAATTGGTAGTTAATAGTAAGAATGCACTCACATCACATATATCATCTTCTCCAACTACTCCAAATGGTATTATTGTTGCTCCAAACCTTGATGCCATCCTCACAAATTCAGACTGCTCTGGCCAAAACAACTTATACTCCTCTCCCTGAAGAACAGCCAATCCTCTAGTCAGTAGATTGATTTCATGATCTCACAGGTTCTATATGCCAAATTCAGATTGATTTCATGGTATCACTGACTCTATGATCTATCTGCCAAATTCAAACTGATTTCATGATAACACTGGCTCTATGATCCATCTGCCAAAACTGTTGCTACCTTTCTATGAAGCGCTTCTCGCGCGCCTCCCGGGTACAGCAACACGAAGTGCTTCTCCGCGAGAAGCTTGTAAAAATTGCCTGCGGTGACAGGCACGGCGCCCATGATCCGATGCATATCGTAGTAGGACGGATCCGGCATGATCTTCTCCTTCTTCTTGTCAAACATGAAGGGATGAGCCAAGCCTCTGATGTGGATCCCAGAGCTTCTCAGCACTCCGGTCACCAGAGGTCCGAGCTCAAACCCCAACAGCATGTGGTACCCAACAATCACTGCAGGACCTTGCTTGGGTAGGCCTGACAAACCCCTCACAATCTTTCCATCAGGCAGTGTTGATAGCATCACTGGGTTTGCTATGTACTGCAACATCCTGAAAGTTTCAGAAATCCAGTAGAAAATGTTCAGTTTCATGTGACAATTTGTTAGTTATTACTCCAACAGTAGGAAATTTGCTCCCTGTAAAGGGGAATTGCATGGATTCTGAATTGACCAAGCTTAAGTTGTTTTGAGAGATGGTACCTGATGTGATCAGTTGCCTTCTGAAATTCATCAGGAGTCAGTGGCAGATAGTCCGAAACAAAGTCCGTCTCCAACGAGCGGCGATAGTACCCAGCTCCTTTGATGGCCGTTGCCAGATCAAATTCAGCTTCCTATCCAATATTTTAAGGAGTTAACATGGACATGCCAAAGATGAAAATAGTGTCAAAGTAGGCTTAAGCTTAACATGGACATGGCAAGGATGGACATAGTTATCTAAGCAATTTGGACTACGGATGGAATTTGCTCGATGTGTAGGACAAGAACAGACTTGAAAATTGAATTGACAAATAAAAAACACTTTTTCTCTTCCTTGGACCAGTGAGATCTTAACATCAATACATTTTCTAAGACGCCTGGAATATGTAATGCAGAGAAACATGAGCTTTCATACCAGCAATATTTTGTGACCGTTGTCTTTGAAATTACGGATTCTGCATTTCTCTAGAGCGTCACGTAGCCTTTCAGCTTCTTCTCGGCTTGGTAGCAGTTCATCATTCCAACTGGAAAAGAAAAGGAGAATAGAATCTTCAGATCCAGTCCGAAGGAGGACCATAAGTTTCAGTATTACTTAATATCATATAATCCATGGAAAGACAGCATCAAGAGCAATGTGCACATTGCTAATTGCAAGGACATGATAAAAGTTATCAGGAGCTAAACATACCTAGCAAGCACCAAAGTCTGCGCTTTAACTGCATGCAAACGGGAATTGACAAATGATGACGCTGTTCTCAGCATTTTCAACTTCCAAACAATAGATTCCTTTGGCAGAACATCAAGCAAAGACTGCATAAACAAGGGCATAAAATTAGTATTATGATGATTCAGACATGAACTGACAAAGAAATTGGAGCAATGGTTAGATTCGAGTCTCACCATAAGAGAAGGCAATAGACTAGTGGTGATCTCTGATAGTGCTTGACCAGCTTCTTGAAATGAAAAACCACGCCCAACAATAGTCGACGGTATCTTCATGAAGTTGCCTAAAAACATTTTTTGGTCACTAATAAGCATTACATCTTATAATCAGCTATAGGCGAAGCGATGGGTGAGCTTGGCTTCAAATGAGTCTACTCATTAATTTCATAAAGGCTCAAAGTGCAGAAAAGTGAGCTAAACATGCAATTATACTTCTTCCCCAGTTGAGTAAAATAAAATCATTTATCCATCAAACAAGTCATAAATATTCTCATAGAGAAGTTAACCGAACCTGTCAGGAAATTCAGCAACTGCGGTGTGGTTAAATGGAACGGTTCAGGGACCAAATCCAAGAAGACTGAGAGAGACTGCAGCTGAGACTTATGGAAAGATGTTCCTGCAAGAAAACCATACAACAGAAGATAAGTCAGTAATCACTTGTCACTGAAAGAAGATAAACAGAGAAAGAACAGAAAACTATGGCTAATGGCAGCAAGACCTGGGTTGACTAGGATCAATACCAAATCGATATCTGGATTTCGCGCCGCCACGGCAAGAGCAATGCATGCTCCAACGGATTCTCCGACTAGATAGACTGGTCTGTCTCTTGCTCTCTGGCCCTCTGATTTCACTGCACTCTCCACATACTCAACTAGTCCTGTATTCATTACTACAGTTTCAGAGTTTTTACAAACTATATAAGTTTAGTCCAAAAAATGAGCTAAAAACATGGTTTCTTATGCATCATATTCTTACAGGAAATTACGATAAGTTCAAGATCATTAAGGTTTATATACTTATACTTCTTAAACTACAAGCACATGAGCATTTCTGTCCATTCTTTGAATTATAATTAGGAGCATATGGGAAGTAGACACTACTTCATTTATGAGAAGTAGACATCAAGAAAGTGTACCTTCAAAGGACGTACAATCTTCAACAGGTATATGTAAGCACCACATATCAAACATCCTGCAAAGCAGAATTAATTACCAGCGGTAGTGAAGATAAAACAGCCATACATTATACATAAAATTGTCATTACTTTGCTAATCTCTCATGATGCCGGATCAGTCCTAAGCCAACTCCATCAATTCCTGCAAGACCAAAGACCGAAAACGGTTACCCATTTTTAATTTTTCTTGTGTTTCTCAAATGGTTGGAACCAAAGTAATGAAAGGTATGAACATATATTCTGACAATCCAACCCATAATGCAGTAGGTTGCATTTCCACTGGGATAAGACTTTCAGTACTATACCTTTTTTAAAACACAAATTTTCAGTACTATACTTGAATACTTTAAAAACCAAATCTCTAACCCAATGATCCTAAGCCTGAATCCAGACTTTGCAAGCATGTCTGCTGCATCAAACAGTCAGATTAACAGTGAGTCTCTGATTATCTGTCCATCCATCTAATCCAGCCACTTCCAATGGCCATCAACCACCAGTAAACAACTGAGCTGGTCAAGAAAGCCAGTCCCTTTCCCCATTCTACTAATATTGGCCTACTGGGAGTTTTCGTAGTGGCTTGTCAAACTGCTTTTATTGTTTATGGTTTCAGCATTGCAGATCTTCATGCGAGCAATTAGAAAATTTTGTTTGGCATGATCTGGGTGAGTCACCGAATCGCCGACATGTTGTCTAAATTAGTGCTGCTGCACTGATCTTGATGAGCTTAAATATTGCCAATTGCCAAAGGTGGTTGGTCCTGCTTTCAGGCCTACCCTACAACCCTCTGGTTTCAGACTAGAAAATCTTGCATGATTAAATGGTGTCAAAATTGAAATAAAAATTCAGGGAAAAAAAAGGGGGTACTGTTCAAACAAATTTTCATTTTCAACACACCCACTTGGTACTATTCAATATCATGCTTTGTCAGAGTTTCACAAGATAAACAGTATTCAAACACATGTTTTACTTATTTATTTGACAAAAAAAAAAGGAATATGCAGACACACATGATTAAAAAAAGGAAATTATTTTTCTTTTTTTTTTCAGAGAGAGGCTCATACCGGGCAAGTAGAGCATCGTGGGCGCGCCGGGCAGCCGCCCTCCGCCGCCGCCGCACTCCAGCGGCGAGAACCACCTCGCCGGGCCGCCGTCCGGCCGCCGCACCATCTCCCGCGCCGCCTCCACGTACTCCCTCACCCCTCTCCTCGCCGCCTTCGCGGCCACGCCCCGCGACGCCGCCGACGCCGCGGACGCGCTCCACCGCCCCCGCGGCGGCGCCGTCCCGCGGCGTGGCAGGCCGGGCAGGAGGGGCCGCGGCGCTGCCGCCACCGTCGCCGGCATCGGCATGGGTGGTTGCGCGGCTGGCTCGACGTACGGTGACGGCGGCGCCTCTGGTCTTCTCCTTGATCACTCGCGCGCGCGCGCACTCGCTTGCAACGTACGTGTCGTGTCGCCGTGTGGCTGGAGAAGAGGAAGAAGATTAGAGAAAAGTAAACCGGCCTAGTGCACTGACAGCACTGTGCTGTACTAGTACTCCCGCCATACTCGTAAATACTCGTAATGGAAATCATTTAGAACAGCGACACGGTATTCAAAACACAACTTTGACTTCTTATTCCTATAAAAATATTTATTAAAAAGTAATATATGTATACTTTTATGAAAGTATTTTTCAAGACAAATCTATACATATAATTTTTACATTTTCAAACTTAACAACTTGAGAGTTATTCATAATTTATATTCCTAAGATTTAATTTAAATATTGTCCTAAATGACTTCCTTTATTAGTATGGAGGGAGTATATGCCGTATATATATAACTAGGTGAATATCTCGTCACGTTGCTACGAAAAAATTAAGTTACACGGTATATACAGATAAGACATAATATGTTTATTGAAACCAAAAGGATGCTTCGTATGTTTTACATAATTTGTATATGGTTGCAAATATAGTGCGAGATGAATATATTTTATGTCTAATTAACACTTATCAATTTTGATCTAAAAATAATTAAGAAAGAAGAAATAAGAGACAATTTAAAGCATAAATCTATTATCAAAAACTATAAATAATTGAGATGATGTGAATTAATGAGAGAAGAGATAAATAGTATTATATATGAAACTATATTTAGTGGGATAATAACTATATACTAAGTATATAGAATATGGACGCACGCTAGCAATGAAGTCAAATGAGAGAACGATGAATCAATCAAACAGTTAAGAGTATATAGAAATACTGACTTGAACATCTCAACTAGAACTAGACTGTATTAGGTGCAAAATGTCTGCATATACAGAAATGGGGGCTGCTACCCCACGGAATACCGTGGAAATAGTGTACTCACGGGATAATTAAAAAAGCAATGACAGCATAAAGGAGCACCCCACAGAACACGTGATTTGTCTCAATACCTAGCCACTGTCTGCTCGGTATCGTCGCCGGAGCAGTGGCTACCTTACCTCGCCGGCGTCATCGCCGAAGTAGCAGCTACCTCACCGCCAAATATTCTCCTTGTTATCGCGCGCTCGGGTGATACCTCGCCGGCGTCGTCGCCCCTGAGCACCCAGAGTAGCAGCTACCTCACCGCCAAATCCTCCTGGTACCTTGAGTAAGGTACCGAGGTGGTACCTGGTACACTGGTATTGGCTGGTACCTGGTACCCTGGGTATCGAGCTGGTACCTAGATATCAGACCTTGGTACCTGGGTATCAGCATGATACTTCAAGAGGGAGGAGGAGGAGGAGTCGTGGGGTCGGGAGGTCCTGGTACCCTGGTATCGACTGATACCTGGTACCCTGGGTATCGAGCTGGTACCTAGGTATCAGACCTTGGTATCTGGGTATCAGCGTGATACCCTAAGAGAGAGGAGGAGGAGGAGGAGGGGGAGGAGTCGCGGGGTCGAGGAGGTCGAGCAGCGGGGCGGGGCGGCGGCGGAGGAAGAGGAGGCGACAGATCTGGTGCCTACCTTGTACCATGCCTCCCCAGCCTCCTCAGCCGGCTGTGGACGACGATGTGCTCGGCGCACCCCTGCCGCCGGCCATGGAGGTCTTCATCACCAACGATGTAGCAGATCCGCTTGCTGCCGGCCATGGAGGATGCCGCCGCAACCGCACCCCGTTCCGGCTCCACCGCACCCCGCTCCCACTCTCCCTCTTGCTCACCGCGCTCGCTGCTGAGCTCCTCGCCGTTGCGGCCTCCCTCGCGGCGGCGGCCGCCGGCTCTGGTGAGCAGTGGGCGACGGCGACAGGGAGGGTTGCAGTGCCGTCTAATTTAGGGGAGAAGAGTGAAGTAAGAGGAGGCGACGGGGAGGCCTGCAACGCCGTGTGATTTGGGAGAGGAGAGTGAGGTAGGAGGAGAGGAGTGAGGTAGGAAGAGGGGATCCCGTCTCCACAGGATGCCGTGTTGTAGGTTTTCTGTACAGAAATTCATTGAAAATCAAAGGGAAAAAAATATCAAATAATTGCTCCCAAAAAAATTGTGAAAGTGAGCAAGTACGTGCATCACTGTTTGCAGGATGCACGCAAGCCACATAAACCGATCTCTCTCTTTCTTTTTTTGGATTTTGGTGGCAGAGTCAACGTAGAGAGATGGGTAATCAAGCAGTTGCCGATTGAGTGAAGTAATGAAGTTGAGTTAACCTGACAGATGAATTGGCATCTTCTTCTCCCAAAATTGTTTTTTATTTTTATTTTCAAACAGAACAATATTACTATTGATCAACACACATAGTCGTTTTACAGCAAAAGCGTATAACCCATGAACTGATCACAATCAACAAAGCTGGAGACGTCAGAAACACTTTGTGATTGCGATGGGAGTCTGAACCAAACTCTGAAGAAGATGTCACCCTCTCTGCAATTTCTATCCGTTCGATGAGTTGGCCGAACGACCTGAGCCGGATATCTTGTTGGGCCTGAACAGTAACATTACGTGCGTGAGGCCCATTACGATTGGGCCGGAACGAGATTGCCACGTACGTTCTAGTTGGGTCGGAACGTCGCAATTTCTTATTTGGGCTGGTACTTGCCTACAAGCATAGTCCAGCTACGCTCGCATCTCAATCCTGGGCCGATCAGTTGGATCCAACGGTCAGCAGCATCGCTGAAGGGCGTTAGGAGCCTAGGACCCACCTGTCAGAACTCAAAACGACGAGGGGGGTTCAAGTGCATTACCCGCGAACCTACTTATAGGTAAAAATAAGTAAGTTCATAGGTTAGTTTTGCTTATAAGTGGATTTTCACGGGTAGCCGCTTGCACACTTAGGGAGGCCCATACTACGGGCTGCTTCGCTTTGTCGCCAATTCTAACTGACATAAACAATTTGTGAGAGAAAAGTTCCGTAACTACCAAATATTAATACAATTGTATTTATAAGATAATGTTTAGTTTGCTACCCTACTAAAGTTTAGTGGGGTTGAAAGTGGCAACAAAATTACAAACAGGTCCTACATAACTTGCCACATTTTCAGGGGCTGCAAAAACTTCTGAGTGGAATAATAACCATACAACAATCCCTCAAAAAGTCATTCAAAAAAAACTTGTCATTAAAAAAAAACAATCCCTCAAAAAAAAAAATACAACAATACAAGATCATGGATGTGATATCGTATGTATTCTACTACTCCAGGAAACAAGTTTCAGTTCAGGCTATTCACAAAAAGTGTTGGTGATGCAGCATCTCCATTCCCCCAGCAATAATCCCCACTGAACTGACGTTGTTGAGGATGTCGCTGGATTTCAGACATCGCAAGCACATTTTCAGCCGCCGTCGCCGCCACCGACGTTGAAGATGTCAGTGGCCCTGACGAAGCGCCCTTTCACCCGCGTCCTCGTGTCGGCTCTCATCTTCCTCGACTCGTACCGGATGTGCTTGTCATACCTGCATCAACAAATAACCAAATTCACCACGAAACAGTGAGAAAGGAGATGATCAATGGCAGGTTAAGCAGCTTCTGTCCAAACATGGTCAGAAAAAAAGGCTAGTGAAAACCATGCCTGCGAGTCTTTCTCTTTTCTCTATACCGTTGCATCGCGTTGTCCCTGTTCATGGCGATCGTTTTGCTGTCGATCTTCAGGGAATTCCTCTGATCAGCTCCAGTTACAGTTTGATCAGTGATACAGTTCTCCCCGGCAAGAACTGCTGCAACTTCTTCAGGAGAAGAGTTCAGAGTTCTATCGACGTCAACGATCCTCGAAGATGATGGCCCGTCATTTGTCAATCCGTGTTGCTCGTTCTTGTGTCGCCTGTTGCCGGATGTGGCAGTGCTCAGCTGAAAATAGGTGCAAGAATAGTGACTTGAGTAACTCAATTGCCACTGTCAACAACAGGATCAATCGATGGGTTTCTCAACGGTGTAAACTTTTCACAGATTAAGTTGGCTGTCAGTGTCACATTGAAGAGCATGAGGTTTACATTGCTAAACGGACCAAGAGCAAAGGATATGATGAGTATGTGCATGATGGCCCATAGTGGTGACAGCATCCAGATAATATCTTAGATCAGATCGGAGCACATGGTCTACTCTGTCAATATCAATCCTTTAGACGATAAGGTTGATTGATAAAAAAGTCTGAAACATTTATGGACTGTGCCTTAACATCAATGAGCAGCTATATATAATCAGACCGCAAAGGTGTATATATATTATTATATATCTAAGATCAAGAGCACGAACCTCTAAACATATGAACAAGAGCACTGCACATGAATGGGACAGTGATACATCCCTATGCGCACAGTACTTCACTTATATTTCAGTATAATTTTAGAGTTCGTAAATATCACACAAGCATGAAAATATACAGAAATTTCATCTGTGAATAGCAAAAAGATTGAAATGTGGATTACCTGTTTTGGAGTCAACTGGTAGATATTGGCCGACACAATATCTTCCGTGGCAAAAGAGTATGTCGAGTCATAAATATATTGAAGATCTTTCCTTGAGCTAGAGGAAACTTCCTCAATCATGTCATTATAACTTTTGATCATAAAGCCTCCATCTTTTGGGCCGAAATGAAGTTCAAGTGCAGAGTGCTCATCATGGTCCCTTGATTTTCCTAGATTAAAATCCCATATCTGTCATGCCAATAACAAACTCTGATTTCAAGTTGTCTAACTCCTCTTTTTTCCCATGAAAATAAGCACATAGTGATTGACACAAGAAGAATCTGCTTTCTCTGGCTGTCTGGTAATTAGACCCATGACTATAACATAATAGTCATATAAAATAAAATTTCCAGGCTAGAAGTGATCTTACCAAAAAAAAAAAGAATCTCTCTTAGGTAATACTAATGCAGCTAATATCAACAGGCAACAGGCACATTTGGGCTTGAGAAAATGGTCGGAGCACAAACTGTGGATCAGCATGAACACATTATTTTGCTTCCATGCCAAGTTTTCAGTTCATCCTCTGATCACATATCCCATTTTTATTTTGTGGGTTACAAGTTTACTACTACTAATGCTAACTTATTACAGAGAAAAATCAGAAAACACAGCTTTTTGACACCATACCACAGAACAATCAGAGAAAAAAATTTGATGATAATCAAGGAGGAACTTGGTTATCAAATAATTAGAAGAAATTGTAAGCATGTTGAGAATTTGACAATCAGAGTATGAGAATGAGACCATGCTATCACTTGTAATAAACTGTTGAAATAATGGAAGCAAAAAAACACAGTCTCTTTGTCACTACCTGGCATGGCGGATCGGAGGGCGCGGTGCGCTGCCACACGAGTTCGTTGTCGTCGGTGAACTGCTCGCCGTTGCCGACATCGCCGCAGCCCGCCGCCTCCGTCACCGGCGTGGACTTGTACGGCAATGTGGCCCTTTGCGCCGCCGCCGCTGCCGCAGCCTCATGGCGGATTGCAGCGGCAGAGCCCCGGCGAGCTGATGGGGAGATCGATCCCGAGTTCGCCTGCGCCGGCGCGGATTCCATCTCACGCCGCGCCAGCTCGGCGAGCTGGTGGCAGAGCGAGTCCCCTTTGAGCCGCCGTCCGCGTCCGCCGGCGGCGACCTCCGGCGGCGGGTCGCAGGGCACGTACATGTCCCGCAGCACGCGATCCGCCGCCAGCATTGGGTAACCGGCCTCGGGGAAGAACGGATCCTCCTCGAATTCATCTCTTCCGCCGCCGCCGCCGAGGTCGAGCCCCCACGACGCGGCGAGCTCGGCGGCCCCGGGGCATCCGGAGAACCCCACCACGGGCACCCTCGCCGCCTCCGCACCGTCGTCGTCGGCGCACCCGGCGCAAAGGAACCTGGCCTCCCCGCCGCCGCCGCATCCTCCAGCTCCAGCGACGGCGGCGACACGCGCCGCCGCGGGGCGCGCCTCGCACCGGGCGCAGAGCGGCGCCCGCACGTGGCGCCGCGACAGCGCGTTCGCGCCGTGCACGTGGCGGTCGCACGCCACGCACAGCCTCGCCGCGTCCGCCCTGCAGTGCAGCGCCGCCGCCGCCTCCCCGCAGTAGTCGCAGCTCCGCCACGTCATCCACCCCTCCGGCTCCGGCGACCACGCCCACGGCGCACGTGCAGGAGGAGGAGGTGATGGCCTCGCCGCCGGCGCGGTGGGTGGGTGCGTGTGGGCGTGGAGGTGGCGCGCCATGGCGGCTTCGATTTGTTTAAGCGAACGCGTGGAGCACGAGGGCGACGTGGCGCGCTCTGGATGGCGCCACGTCGCCCCCGGTGGCGCAAAATATCTCGCGCTTTTTTTTCTTCCGCCGAGCTGGCTGAGGCGGGGCCCAGTAGGTTCTCTTGGCCCATATCAGTTTTTTTTGGGCCTGACGGATTGACGGCCCAGGAGCCCAGTTAAGAAGATCACTAACGGCCCAAGTCTTCATAATAAGAAGAGAAATTATAAAAAGTATAAAGAAAATAAAGAAAAAGAAAAACACAAACGGCCCAGCGAAAAGTCTGCACGGAAATGCTTTGGGAAAAGAAAGAAAATATTAGATTCCAATGATTGAACAAGATCTAGCAGTGGCAGCGACAAGGGATTATGGGCTTGACTAAAGGATGAGGGAATGATCAATTGAGGTCACTGGTGACATCCAAATCCCATTTTTGAAAAAAATTCCCCTGTTTTTGCCAAAGCAAAATAATGGGAAGAAATTTCGTTTATAAAAGTTTGGGACTGTGTAGCTTCCAGTCTCCTCAAAATACCTACAAATTTCACTCACTCTTAGAAAGCCAAGATCTCGGCTTCTATTTTGATTACTTTTACGAAATATAAGGAAAATTAAGTATACTTTTTTGGGTGAATAGCTAATTTAATCTCTCAAGTTTCACCGAAGGCTCAATTTGGTTCTTCAGGTTTTATTTTGTCCACATATATCCTCTAAGTATTTGTTTTGGCTTAAAATCATCCTTAGGCTCACTTAATAGTTAATATGCCATATGGCTATTTCTAGTCAACAATTCTGTTAGAAAATGTCTCTTTTGCCTGTAATTTGTATGCAACTATAAACTAGAAAAGTGAAAACCAAGATAAATAAACAACATTTTTACTTCCCATTATTTCAACATGTGCATATGAAACTTAGTCTAATGGCTATCGTATACACTTGCAAGTACATAATTTATTTTTGTTTTACATAAATTGCTATCCATTATCTATAAAAAGAATTCATTGCACGCAATTTTTTCTCTTATATATGTGAATGAGGGAGTATAATTGTCATTTATCAATAGAGTTGTTGGTTATGTGAGTTTAAGGATAAGTTTAAATTAAAATAAAAACTTGAAGGACTAATATGGACAGATTAGAACATCAAGAACTAAACCGAGCCTCGCATGAAACTTGGAGGACCACTTTGACTATTCACCCTACTTTTTTCAAAAATGTCGACACATAATCACCACTTCCTTGCCACTTGAAATTTGAAAACACAACTATCCACATACGTTGCTCCTGTTATGGAATATTATCTCCCAATGAGATAATATCCTTTCTTGTATTATAATCTAAACCGAAGTATAGATAAGATCTATTTCCTCCTAAGACCTCCCTATATATACAGGGACAGAGTGAGATATCTAAGGTTGATTTGTACTCCAGATAAGATTTATAATGAAAAGAGAGCTCCACCCTACATATGTGTTCATTGTCTATTTCTACAATGTTTTCTGAGGGCAAAGGGAAGGGCACGGATGTTCTATATCATCTCACACGTCTACTGTTATGGGAGCTGAGGGACAGGAAACGGATCCGTGATCCGCTAATGAACGCGTTGATTTACAACAACTCCAACATTTCGAATCAAAGGTGGGGGTAGCTTAGCAATGGTAGCATGATGGGCCGCAGGAAATGGCGGGAAAGATAACGAGGAACATATCCTGCGCCCTTTCCGATAATGGAAAAAAAGAGACCAAAATGGGCTCGCAGGATCGGATCGGATAGCAGATCGGTCGGTGGTCAGCTCATCCAATCCAATTTCTCTTTAATTCTGCAACTGCGATCGCTTTCAGTGTCAACTTTTGCAGGGTATAAATCGGGCAACGGACGGAGATCTTGCCAGCCCAAATCAGGAAAGTTTCTCAGCGAGCTAGCAGCTATAGCTTAGCTGGAGATCGATCGAGAGGTAGAAGAAGAAGAAGAAGAAGAAGAAGAAGAAGAAGAAGAAGAAGAAGAAGAAGAAGAAGAAGAAGAAGAGAGGCCTCGCATGGCGATGAGAGCTCGCATCTGGTAGCCAAGGATGACTTGCCTGTGTCTCTGCTCATGTGCAGTAGAAGAAGATGCATTTCTAGCTGCTTTCTGCATATGTGATCTCACAGGCAGTCTCCTTGGCTAGCCTGAGCGGCTCTCATCCTTCATGCCTGGCTCATCTCTTCTTAATGATCTCTTATTAGTCACAGATCCTGTAGAGATTAGTTGATGTTTGATGCTTGTCCACTTCAGTGCCACACATAAACATAGCGGCCGTGATCAACTGATCAGTCCAGCCTGACAGAGAATTCAGAGAGCATGACAAGATCAGCTTCTGACAAACCGCGCGAGATTAACCAACAAATGTATTCAGGGAGAATATCTGAATTGCATTGCACTTTGCATGATCGGGACATTCTCGTTAATTTCATAATTAAAATTCAGATGCTCTCTCTGTACGTAACTACGTATAATACTAATATACTTTGCTGAATTGCTTTGGTTCTTATTTGATGTGTGCAGGCAGGCAAGATCAAGACTACAGCGGTGCGTGCTTCCTGAACTGCCTGTGGACGAAGACGAACAGACAAAGCTAGTGATCGATCGATGCTCTGACGACAGCCACTCCTGCAGGCTGCAGCTTATGCACTGGTGCATCTGCTAGATAGAGCCTAGGAGAGTAGGAGGATGCACTTACAGAGAGACAGAATGTGTTGTTCTCTGCTTAATTTGTTAGTTACCACACTGTTTAATTCCTCTGTTCAATGGGAAACTTCGTTTAGGGTGTGTTTAGTTAACGCTAAAATTAAAAGTTTGATTGAAATTGGAACGATGTGATGGAAAAGTTGGAAGTTTAAAGAAAAAAGTTGAGGACTAAACCAGGCCTTAGTTTGTTCCTAGTACTGCATCAAATTTTGAAACTTTTAGGGCCTGTTTAGTTCCCGAGAGTGTCACATCGGAAGTTTGACCAGATGTCGGAAGAGGTTTTCGAACACGAATGAAAAAACTAATTTCATAACTCGCCTGGAAACCGCGAGACGAATCTTTTGAGCCTAATTAATCCGTCATTAGCACATGTAGGTTATTGTAGCACTTATGACTAATCATGGACTAATTAGGCTCAAAAGATTCATTTCGTGATTTCCATGCAAACTGTACAATTAGTTTTTGTTTTTATCTTTATTTAATGCTCCATGCATACATGTGTCTAAATGTTCAATGTGATGTTTCTGGGAAAAAATTTTGGGAACTAAATCGGGCCTTAGTCAGTTAGTCCTCCTGTGTCATCTCATAGACACTGAAACTTGTGTTACGCCAAAGCAAAACTATCAAAAGATTTATAAAGAACACCTTAGTACGCCTCGATCATGGAGAAGTCAATTTAGGGCAGTTGGTGAAATGAAAATTTTATGATGTCACATCGAATGTTTGACCAGATGTTGGAAGGGGTTTTTGGACACGAAGGAAAAAACTAATTTCATAACTCGCCTGGAAACTGCGAGACGAATCTTTTGAGCCTAATTAATCCACCATTAGCTCATATGGGTTACTGTAACACTTATGGCTAATCATGGACTAATTAGACTCAAAAGATTCGTCTCGCGATTTTCATCATAAATGTACAATTAGTTTTTTTCATCTACATTTAATGCTCCATACATATCTCTAAAGATTCGATGTGATGTTTTTGGAAAAAAAAAATTGGAAACTAAATAGGCCCTTACAATGTAAATGCATGTACGCCTATACCCCTATTGTCTTGTTTGCTTTGAGATTTGTGTATGTAGCATAGATTTCAACAAATCACAATATTATATTCCTCCTTTTAGTACATCACGAATTTCAATAATTCATCAAATGCATCCAAATATAGGGCACATACACACTTGCGTTGTAAAAGGTATGTTCCCTCGACAATTAATTCCACGCACAAGAGAAATCTCTAACCATGAAGTAGTGAGAATCAACTATGGGGGCTCCCTCGACAATTAATTCGAAGCACAAAAGAAGATCTCTAACCATGAAGTAGTGAGAATCAACTATGGGGGCTCCCTCGACAATTAATTCGAAGCACAAAAGAAGATCTCTAACCATGAAGTAGTGAGAATCAACTATGGGGGCGTTTAGATCCATGGTGTAAAGTTTTGACGTGTCACATCAGGTATTATATAGGGTATCGTATGTGGTGTTTGGGCACTAATGAAAAAACTAATTACAGAATCTGTCAGTAAACCGCAATATGAATATATTAAACCTAGTTAATCCATCTTTAGCAAATATTTACTGTAGCACCATATTGTCAAAACATGGAGCAATTAGGCTAAAGATTGGTCTCGCAAATTAGTCACAATATGTGCAACTAGTTATTTTTTTAGTCAAAAACTTTTAACTCAAACTTAAAACTTTCAGCCCAATTGTCAAAACTTTCATCTCAAATTTAAACAACTTTTAACTCAAAACTCAAAACTTTCATCTCGATGTCTTTGCGTTTCCTTCACATACCAAGAAATGGTCCCTGAACATTGGATTGAACATTGACAGCGGGCAATTCAAGGAGGTCGGATACGGATCACTCTCATGGTTGGAGAGATTTTACAGTCATTGAGAGATATCACGAGGTGTCGAGGTACCAAAATTGTTAGTTAAAAAAAATTCTGCATCACAGCAGAAATGACTACTGTTTTTTTTTTGTCTGAGCTCTGAAGCAGCAGTTTACTGCAAGAAACAGCAGCTAAAGTACGGCATCACTTGAACACAACCATTGGATTTCAATCAAACGGTTCGAAAGAACCTCTTGAATGCTCATCCTCTGCACTTAGACCACCAAAAGTCAGAACATAGAGAATCTGTTCTCAATAACAACCATCCCCACTACTTCTACAAGCATGTCAACAAAACCTGATCTTATTCAGATCTTGAAGGGCATTTCGAGTGCCAATCCTGAACATTATATTCGTTGCAAAATGTCAACGAGTGATCCTTGCCAGGATATGCACGGACCGTGCATATATTCCCCGCTTTCCAAATTGGGCAAGATTGAAAAGGCGCCTTCAGGGCTTGAACCGAATCCAATCCTTGTAATTTGTAAAGGAGATCAGGAGAGTGGATCAAATTATTCGATGCTGCATGGACCCTTCTCTCCCTGTCGAGATAGATAGATAGATAGCTCCGTTAGCTTCTTCCATTCATGGCTGTCTCTCCTGCTTCAGATTGCTATAAATTGGCCATGAACTTGCAGTGTTTTTTTCACACAAACAGAGCCCAAACACACACAAGAGGAGAGAGATGAAATATGATAAGAGTCTGTCTAGATAGCCAAGGATGACTTGCCTGTGGCCTCTTGGAGAGAGAGGTGTAGCTTAATTAGCAGCATGGTTTGAGCATTGCTTGATCGGTTGATCGCTTCGCTTGCTCTGCATGAGATCTTACAGGCAGTCTCCTTGGCTAGTCTGGGCGGCTCTTATCCGTTCTAGTACAACATAGGCATTAGGCAGCATTGCAGCCTTGCAAAGTGCGAACAGCAGTCACCTTTGCAGTGTTGAAGCAATGCCACATATAAATTTAGAAATTTTCTCATGGTTTATATGGTTAATTATAGTCGTTAAATTATTTGGGAGACGAAACTGTCACATATCACAAGTTATATTTATTAGTAGTAGTGATTTTCTTATGGTCCGAGGTTATATTACCATATTTTCGCAAAAAAGAAAATGTTCCTCTCAAGGACCGTAAAATTTCCTTGCATTTATGTTTTTTGAACTTCTGTTGATGATATGCAAACATATACCAAGCAATTCTAGAGATTTATGTGTTATATAATTGACTCAAAACAAGGGTTTGTTCAGCATTTAGGAAAGAGGTTACTCGGCGGTATGGCACTTGCTGTGAAAACCAAGAGGTTAAGGTTACCTATAAAATCGAGAGGGTTACACAAACACCCGTGATATCACAAACCCTAGGGTTGTAGGGCAATAATTATGGGGGTATGGGTATTACGACGTCAATCTGTGTTATCTGAACTCTAGGTGAAGATATAATTTAGAGCATCCTTAGTGGTTCATCCAAATCTGATCCTCCATATACTTATTTGGATGGTCATCTAAAAAAGATTCTCACTCTGTATCCCTTTTCACTCCAACCGATCATCCATACTACATCCTTCATATCACACTCTCTTATATTAACATCTTTCAACTACCCATACATTTGTACTATTTTTTTCGTAATAGCTAAATTTTGAATGACTAAAATTTAACAGTGTTATTTGTAGTGGATTGTTTTAAATAAATGACTCTATTTGAATGGATATATTTTTGATAGGTAATTTTTTAATTGCTATATTTCCAACGGATTGGTATTTTTTCAAAGACTAAGTTGTAACGGCATATTGCATATAGCCGAGGAGGAGAGGCGAGTGGCTAGGCGTTGGCAGGTGCAGACGGCCGACGACGGGAGCCACATGGCGCATTGGGCAAGGGTGGGAGCAGGCGGTAGATCTCGGAGCAGGCAGGCGTAGGTGGCTGACGGCAGGAGTTGGCACGAGCACGGAATCAGGGCCAACACATAATCTATCCCCACCTCTAACGTAGTCTTCATAAAAAAAACGTTGGAAAGGAAGGTGGGAGCGGGAGCTTGCAAGATGGTGCACATGCTATTTTTGGACCATCGGGTGGAGTATTTGCTGGAGCCTGGTTTTCTTCTCAAGTAAGCTATTTTCATGATGGAGGATGGGATGAAGTATCTTCTAGGAATGATCTTAAGTGTAGCACGTAGTATTTTCCTTTACATTTTCATGCTTTATGTGCATATAGGCACACATTTTTACTATCGCACAAACATGATAGAGTAGAGAAGATAGAGGAACCATCTATAAATAAAGTAGAGAAACTACACTAGTTTAAATTAACACGGGTTTTTACTATCGCACAAACATGATAGAGTAGAGAAGACAGAGGAACCATCTATAAATAAAGTAGAGAAACTACACTAGTTTAAATTAACACGGGTAAAAACTTACAGATACAAGAATCTTTGAATTTTTTTCAAGCATTGCACTACAGATAAAAAAAGCTTTGAATTTAAATTCTGGCACTGCAGATAAAAAACACATGCTACATATACAAGAATCTTTGAATTTTATTCAAGCATTGCACTGTAGATAAAAAAAGCTTTGAATTTAAATGCAATCACTACAGATAAAAAAAACTTTGAATTTAAATTCAAGCACTGCAGATAAATAAAGAAATAAATCTTTGCATTTAAATTCAAGCACTGCAGTTAAAAAAAACTTTGAATTTTATTCAAGCATTGCACTGCAGATAAAAAAAAGCTTTGAATTTAAATGCAATCACTACAGATAAAAAAACCTTTGAATTTAAATTCAAGCACTGCAGATAAATAAAGAAATAAATCTTTGAATTTAAATTCAAGCACTGCAGTTAAAAAAAACTTTGAGTTTAAATTCAAGCAGTGGATATAAACTTCAGATACAAGAATCTTTGAATTTTATTCAAGCATTGCACTACAAGCACTGCAGTTAAAAAAAAATTTGAGTTTAAATTCAAGCAGTGGATATAAACTACAGATACAAGAATCTTTGAATTTTATTCAAGCATTGCACTACAAGCACTGCAGTTAAAAAAAAACTTTGAGTTTAAATTCAAGCAGCGGATATAAACTTCAGATACAAGGATCTTTGATTTTATTCAAGCATTGCACTACAGATTTTTAAAAAAATCTAATTTAAATTCAAGCATAAAGCATAAATTAAAAGCACTGCAGTTTAAAAAAACTTTGAGTTTAAATTCAAGCAGCGGATATAAACTTCAGATACAAGAATCTTTGATTTTATTCAAGCATTGCACTAAGATTTTTTAAAAAAGCTAATTTAAATTCAAGCATAAAGCATAATTTTTTTAAAAAACTAATTTAAATTCAAGCATAAAGCATAATTTTTTTTAAAAAAAATCTAATTTACATTCAAGCATGAATTTGATTTTATTCAAACATTGCACTACAGATTTTTTTTAAAAAAAAATAATTTAAATTCAAGCATAAATTAAAAAAAATATAATATCTGATTTAAATTCAAGCATAAATTTGATTTTATTCAAGCATTGCACTACAGATTTTTTTAAAAAAAATAATTTAAAGTCAAGCATAAATTAAAAAATAAATGCGTTAGAAGGAGGGCTTGAACCTCCGACCTTGTGGTTAACAGCCACACGCTCTAACCAACTGAGCTATTCCAGCTTTTGTCTCTTAAACCACATCCACCATTTTCTCCTTTGATTTCTTCATATTGGGCCAGACATGGGCGCACGCGTACGCATGGGCTCCTTTCTCGCTGGAAATAAGTTCGCTTTATATCCCTCATCTTGACGTCGAGTTTGTATTACTTCCTTAACCATAATGCCAGATATAATGTATCCGTTAACTTACAAAACCGTATTAACCAAGGTCTTAGGGTAATATTATATCTAGTTTGGCTGACATGGTGAGCTGAATTAGTGTGGGACCACACGGGTCTAACATGCCAGCGACCGGTTCTTTCTTCCTCCTCTCTTCCTCTCTCTCTCCCCATCTCTAGAGCGACGACCAACGGAGAGAAGGGCGGTGCGTGGTGAGCATCGGCATAATCCGACAGTGCGATGTGGCCAGCGACACACTTGCCGAGCAGCAACGCGTCCTCCCACTCCCGCGCAAGCAATCACTCCAGCCCGACGTAGGTGGAGGTGTTAACCTGGTTTTCCTTGGCGGAGTGTCGCTTCCTCAAGTAGAAGGCGTTCTCGGTGAAGCAACGGCTACGGATGTGAACGTAGGACTTGGCCTCGCGTCGCACGTCGCTGTTGCCCTCGATGCAGCCACCCGACACCTTATTGTGTTTCTTCTCGTAGCCAACACAAGATTTTTGATGGGTTACATGTGGTCCCTCCGTTTCACAATGTAAGACTTTCTAGCATTGCCCACATTCATATATATTAGACATATATATATTTAGATTCATTAATATCTATATGAATATGGATAATGCTAGAAAGTCTTGCATTGTGAAACGGAGGAAGTATTGTCCACATTCATATATATTAGACATATATATATATATATATATATAGATTCATTAATATCTATATTAATATGGATAATGTTAGAAAGTCTTATATTATGAAACGGAAGAAGTATTGTACTATTGTGGTTCAAGGATGGTTTTTAAACTCGCACTCAAGTGATTGAGGGATCTTTGGTGAACTTATTCCTTTCTCGCTGCCCCGAGCGGAGCAGCCCACTTGTTGGGCCTCCACCACCGCCGGTCCGGCCCAACCATCCCGGAATACTCGTTGACATCGCGATGCGTCGTCGTCGTATAATACCACAGATACGAATCCGCTCGCCGGAGTCCACGGGGAGATCGGAGCCTGCAAGGCAAGCAACCACCGCCGCCGACGACGACGACGTTGACGGCGACGAGGAGACGATGAGCTACCAGAAAGTGCCGCCTCCTCAGGACGGCTACCCTCCTCCAGGCAATTCCCCCCTTCCCTCCTCCCCCGGATCCATCCCTCGCCGGACCGGGATAATCACACTGCGGCGGCGGCAGGGGCTTTCTTGATCTCAGCCTCCCCCTGTTCAGGATCCCCATTCTGTTCTGGGTTGATTTGGATGCGTGTCCGAAATCTGAATCTGTGACGGCGCAGCATCGGGTGTCGCCGAATTCGTGCCCGATTATCTGATCGATTTTTAGGGTCGTTCTTCCGTGATTTCTCTGATCGATTCTTGGGCTGTTTGTTTCTGTGGATGCAGGGTACTCGCAGCCATACCCGCCGCCACCGTCCGGCGGGCAGTACCCACCTACGCAGTACTACCCGCCGCCGAACCAGCCTCCTCCGGGGTACCAGGGCTACTTCAGCGAGGGGCAGCAGCCGCCATACTACTACCCGCCCCCGCATGATCCCCACCACCACCATGGTCACCACCACCACCACGAGGACCATCACCACCACGGCCACCACCACCATGGCCACCACGACGATGACTGCTGCCTTGGCTTCCTCAGAGGATGGTAATTCAAAGCTTTACTCCTTTTCATTTCTTGCCAATTTCGTGTGAATACTTTATACTTTCGGTGCTCGTATGCGTTGTTAATCATGGATGCTCTATTGCTCTGTGAACTACAAGTTCATTGTGTGTTGCTGTCTTTGGTAAATTTGTTTCACAGAATGAAATTTCTAAAAAAAAAAATGTTTCAAAGAATGAAGATCTGGAACAAATGTAAAACATAGACTTAGCTCAGCAATCTGATTATGAATAGACTTATATTAAAAAAAAACTTAAATGAATGACTGATTTTACGATATCGGCTGGTACCTCCTTGATGACCATGTAAAATCTCCAAACAACAACATCTCTACCATGGTATATCCATTATAGAATTATATATTGCTTGTGCATCTTTGGATAGTTAATACTTTAAACATCGGAATCAATTAAAATTTCTCCTCAAAGATAACTTTTCGATGAAAACTGTGCAATATAAATAAAATCATGCTAGCTCAGCTGTACTGTACTTTGATGAAGTGTTAATTATAGGCCAAAAGAATATTCAGTATATGGTGTCATGGGCAGGATCACAAGATTAATAAATTGCTTTCTTGAGTACTGAGGTTCTGCACCATAAAAAATGTATTGCTGAATGCTGAGCTGATTGGATCACATATGATCTGAAATACTTCTTGTATGTCCTTCGAAGTTGTACATACTCCTTCATGATGCAGACAATAGTTGACCTTGGACTGTGACAATTTCATGAAGCTGGTTTATTTTTATCTTCCGTCTCTATCTCTATTTTTTTAAGAGGGATATTCATCCATCTAACCCTCCAACTAGATAAAAACCGCCTTCCAAAACCCACCTCAGAAGAATCACCGTGACTTCCCACTGAACAGGATAACTCTTCTCCATGTCCTCTCTTGCATTGGTGGAGCTTGCAGGTTGTTGCAAAGGGCTATCTAATAAACATGCTTAGATAACTTGAGAAGAGAAGGCCAATTAGTATTTACATTGATTCCATTGATTAATCTACATGGTAAAACTAATCACTTATTTAGCAACTTGCCATGGCCAAGCTTGGCCCTAAAAAGGCTCTGCCCTGCTCTCCCGGTATGGTGAATATTTTTGTATGATTATAGGAATAATAATGTATACATGAAACATACAATTAGCTAATACTCCCTCCGTCCCAAAACGTAGTGAATTTTAGAGTTCAAACATTGTCCCAAATCTAGAAACATATGACATGTAAAAGGTAGCTTTTGCCACTAAACTATATGGACTACCACTACTATCCCTTAGCCCTATTATAGTCTGGGCCTACACCTCACCCATCCCAAGAAGACAAACAAGTCATACATGTTCCGTCATATATTCTGCGACGGTGGGAGTATTCATTTTGTATCAATCACTTCCGCGCACCAAAAGATGCCATTTGTAAGGTTCCAGAATTCGTTTTTGATATACCTGTGTAGTTTTCTTTTAACCAAATGTACCTGTTTAAGTTGATACTTTTTTATGTTTGATAAAGGGTTTTAACAGAATGATAATTAATAGATGAGGCATTTTATATTGAGAAGACTGCTGTGAGTAGGGTTCCTAGCTTAAAATTGCTTAATCTCTGTTTTCTTTTTATTAGGTTGGCCATTCTTTGCTGCTGCTGCGTGCTGGAGGAATGTTGCTGCTGCTGCTGCTGATGGCCTGAATGCTTTGAAGCTCCTTGTTATCAACTATTCTTGAATGGAAAATTTTAAGTGTGAATTTGATTTTCTGTGATTGATGGACAGTACGTAGTGTGCATCTTGTTATTATTTGTCAATAAGTGGACTCTGTTATCTGTATATGCCCCGCTCAAATATGAAAGGTGTTCAGTTTGTTTCAGAGTCAATAAGCTGATTGTGCTATTCTGTCTGTCCATGTCCCGAACTAGAACGTAACCCCCCATCCCAAAAGGAAAAAAAAAAGGCTATCGGAAGTTTTCTCAGTAGTAGTGGATTGCTGAGATAGTGTACAGTTTGTCTAAAGAATTTGGGGATGGTTGTAGTTCTAAACTTTTGTGCTATTCGAGAATCAAAATAAACCCATGATCAGATTAAGGATGTTCATTACAAATTGACAAACACTGATTTTAAAACGAAAAAATTTAGAAAAAAATATATTTTTGTAGGAAGTTTTTTGACAAAACTCAGCATATGACAAAATTTATGTTGTTTAATTCACAATCAGCAATGGTTTCGTGGTGTAGTTGGTTATCACGTCAGTCTAACACACTGAAGGTCTCCGGTTCGAGTCCGGGCGAAGCCATATTTTTATTTTTTACTCTCATGGACCGTCCATTTTAAGCCCAGTAGCTTTTAAAAAAATCATGGGCCGGCCGGCCGTCCTACTGAAAGCCCAGTATCGTATGTTGCGTGGTTCACCGGTGACCTACTCGGCCCACGGGTTGATATAAGCCGGCCCAACCCAAAAAACTCTTACTTCTGTTGCCTCCCGAAGCATCTGGAGAATTGGAAGACTGGAAGGCCGACCTGCCGCTGCCGGAAAACCCCGCCCCCCGCGCCGCCGCTTCGATCTCCGGCTCCCCTCCGCCACTTCCCTTGCCTCCCCCACCTCGGGTCGGCCAGTTCCTCCTCGCAGTTGACGAGCTACCTCCGGATCGAGGGTGCGATCCTCTACTCTCTTTTTTTTGTTCTACTTTCGCGAGCTGATGAAACTCGAGATGAATCCGCGTATACGGCACTCTTTTACGTTTTTGGAGAAAATTTCACCCGATTTGATTGGGTTAGCGATTCTCCGTGGGGTTTTGAGCGCAACTAGGGCTTGGGGTTGGGAGGACAGTTCAGGGATGATGCACAGCCCCTAGAATTTTAAGTTAGGTGCAATGGTTAGGTCATGTTTTCTGAATTTAGATTTTCGTGACGTTTTTAATGTGAGCCGATGATAGTTGTATGTTTGAGAGCTTTTCTGATTGTTTGATGGGGAATTAGAGGAGAGATGCTAAATAGAAGAGGGGCTGCGATTATATTGTTTTATTCAAAATTTGGATTGTTTGATGCAATGAATTGCCTGCCTGTTAATTTATGAAAGATAGAAAATGCTAGGGGATGAGCAGAACGAAAGTGCTCCACTGTACTGCTGCGATTTATAGTGTTCATGCATTTGGATGTTCCTAGCTGACACAGACAAACTTTGAATTGCAGAGAGGTGTTCTCATTTGTTTGGACTTGGAAACTCTGGGAAAATGTTCAAGAATACATTTCAGTCTGGGTTTCTATCAATTCTTTACAGCCTTGGGTATGCAGTGCGGTGATCTACTCGCATTTTTTATATCATACATTTTCTGAACTGTTGGATATCTCATTCTTTACTGTTGTCATTTGGTCAGGACCAAGCCTTTGCAGATATGGGATAAGGAAGGTGCATTATTGTTTATACTTGGATTCTCCTTAACTTCAGTCTTTTACTCATGCTATACTGTAGACAGAGCATTGTCTGATATTCAGGACTTATCTGTCACGATCTAAAGATATCTGCTTCTGATTGTTGCCAGAGCCAGATCTGCACATGGGCAATTCCCTTGACTCTATATTTGGTTTGTGACATATGCATTGAATATGTGTTGTATAATCTACAGAGCCAGCTTAACTGTTTAACTAAATCTGAGTTGCTTGCCCCCCCCCCTCCTCTTTTATTGAACCTTGTTCAGAAACGAAAATGTGTTTCCATTATCACATTTGGGACTACTGTTGACCCTTTCTCAAAACCATTCACGTGCATAGCTTAACTTCACATGGTCTCTGTGGGAATTTTAGTAGGGGTAGTTATTGATACACTGTTTATTTATCCAAGTAAGGGTGGAAAACATAAACTAAGTGTGCTTCAGCTGTAGTCTATGCCACCAAAATTGATTATTAAAAGCTTTACTATAATCTTGTTTGTCAAACATGCTGATCTGGTTATTTACCTTTCAGTGAAGAATTCTATTCTATGTTTACTTGTTTAACGCCTTGTCTATTATGCAGTTGTAGATGGGCACATCAAAAGGCCTCAGGATGAGGATATCCAGTCTAATGTACTTGAAATTATTGGAACAAATGTGCAATCGACTTACATTACCTGCCCGGCTGATCCTGCTGCTACTCTTGGAATTAAACTTCCATTTCTTGCTTTAATCGTGAAGAATCTTAAGAAGTACTTCACATTTGAGATCCAAGTTTTGGACGATAAGAATGTCCGCCGCCGATTTAGAGCATCAAATTTTCAAGTATGTATAATCTGGAATTCATTTTTCTCTCTGTAGGCATTGCGTATCTACAAGCACTGAAAGTCTAAAACTTTCATCATGTTGTTCTGCTTCATAACTTGAAAGTATGAAATGCTTTTGTTCAAATTTGTTAATTGTCCTCTCATGGTATTTAAAAGGGCTTAGTGAGACGTAGGTTGACTAGAAGTGATACTTTACCTGCAACATTCTAGTTCAGACTTGAAGTTAATGTTTTATACTCTGTTTATTCATTTGAACAGTGGAATTCATATTAGAAGAGTTGTTTATTTAACCACTCGGAAATAAGAAAAATAATACATTTTCTAGATTTGAATTTGTCAGGCTCATACTGAGATAGATATCAGTTTCTTGCTTCGCCCAGTCAGCAATCAGCACATGAGTCTCATGAACATGTGTCATGCTTGCATTGTTTTTCACTAGTCTTATGATGTGGTTGTAGTCTTGTACGCAATTTGCCATGTTTCAGTTCCCATTTTTATATTTTTGTACCGCATCAGGTGCAATAGCATATGTAATGTTTGACATGGCCTTCTTATTAAAGGTAGTTTTATGGCATCTTTTGTTTCTGCTCTTCTTGGAATTTGAAAGGTCTAAAGTTGGGTTTCTACTTTTTTGTTTCTACATGTAATGCATATTGACTTGTAACCGTTACTATTTTCCAGTCTGTCACTAGAGTGAAGCCATATATATGCACAATGCCATTGAAGCTAGAAGACGGCTGGAACAACATTCAGTTGAATCTCTCTGATCTGACAAAAAGAGCCTATGGCACAAATTATGTTGAGACACTCCGAGTGCAAGTTCACGCGAATTGCAGACTTCGTAGAATTTACTTTGCTGACCGCCTCTACTCAGAGGAGGAGCTGCCACCTGAGTTCAAGCTCTACCTTCCTATTCAGGTGAGAACACCATACCTTCTCTACTCTGTTATGAAACATTTGCTTGTTTCTGATCCATCTGTTCTAAGTTGTAACCTTTTATTTGAACTTCAGAAGGCATAGACCTTGGAGCAATCATGGAGACGGGTTCTTGATCACGAAAGTAGCCAGCCCCAGGAGATACCACTGCGCGCCCTCGTGATGACTCGTTTAACGCGAAGCTATTCACGCGCAAGCCTGCACGAAACCTCAGGGATCTTCCTGGTTGTTTGATAATTGTAGGAGAGTAGTTAGTCGTAGCCTGAATGAGTTGCCGGGGTACCCACTGACCCTCATCTAATGCACTGTTACTCGGTGTTGCATCCTCCCCTACAACTGTACCGGATGGTCCAACTCCCATGTTTGCAAACCCAGTAGCACCTACCGTTGTGTTTGGCCATTCAATTTGCAGCGCTTTTGCCATAGTATGTGACCACTTGTGCGGGCTCGTTTTGGATGGGCATATGTCATTGTCAGGCCGGCGCGGGCGCCATAAAATCTTACTCCATGCATGCACATCCCTGCTCTCTCTTCTTCAGCATATGGTGTTGGCAATGGTGTCTGAGGATTGTTTGGACATGGCCTCGAATTCTGCCCCCCCCCCCCCCCCTTTCCTTTTTTTTCTTCACTGCTATCAACAGCATCTCACCTGGGCAATAAGTTTTGTTTTGTTCTAGTACTAAGGCCATGTTTGGGGAATTTAAAATTCTAAGAAGTGACCGGTGAGAATCTAGAGAAGTTTCCAAACTTTTGGATTCTAGTTTATTTTTTGGATTCTATTACTACAGCTTCTGAATTGCAAGAGAAAGCTTCGTAGTTAGAGATTATAAGAGAAGCTATAGCTGTCAGAAGCTCTAGACCTAACACTGATGGGCGTTGCTCCCGTTGTTGCGTCGTCGGCGTCGTGGTAGTAATCGTTAGGTGAGGCGCGCGGCGGCGGCGGGGACCAAGGCGCGCGGGCGGCGGTGGTGGATGCCAGGGCGCCGCGTTGCGCGGACCACGCGGCCGCGGCGTACGGGGGCGGCAGCGCGGGTGTGGGCGTGGGGCGGTTTGGATGATTTGGCGTTGTGGGCGGTAGTTACGCGCGAGGCGGGTGGGGCGGGAGAGGGCGAGTTGTGTGGGCCGGGGGTCCGGATGAATAGAATAAATTGGTGTGGTGGGCCATCTCGGCTAGGCCGGCCCACATGCATGCAGATGGACCATGCGGTGCGAGATCCTTCTTCGTTCGTGGCTATCCCGTGTTCGTGTTTGCTTGCCGGTCTCCTCTCAGGCACCGTCTTCCGACAAGCTTTCAGGCGATCGTAGGAGAAATTTCCGCGACTTCACTGGTGGCATGTACTGGTACGCGTTCATTTACAACGTGGTACTGCATGAATGCGCCTGATGCAAAACGTCTCCTAATTTATTTGTATAGCTCTATACATGTTTGAGACGGGAAAGAAGGAGAGTAAGAAGATATGGGGAACGAAATGAGAGCATATAATTAGTTGAGTATTAATTTTTATAAATTTTAAAATATAGATTAATAAACTTTTTAAAGAAAATTTCTTATTATTTTTTATAAAAGAATTATACCATTTAATAATTTTGTACGTGCAGAACAAATTAAATAAATGCTTATATAGTTACACTTGAAATATTTTCAATAAAAAAGCAATTCCTTTGGGGACACAAGTTTCATCACCGACTTGCTCCGCCTACTATGGTGACGACACGTACTCACTAGCTAGAATAAGCACCCCTTGACATACAAAACCAAAACAAACATTTATATTCTTGTTTCTGTTTAGTTCACGAAAAGAAATTTTTTGAATGTCACATCGAACGTTTGATCGGATGTCGGAAGGGATTTTTGGATACGAATAAAAAAACTAATTTTATAACTCGCTTGAAAACTGCGAGACAAATCTTTTAAGCCTAATTAATCTGTCATCAGCACATGTGGGTTACTGTAGCACTTATGGTTAATTATGGACTAATTAGGCTTAAAATATTCGTCTCGCGATTTCTCCCCTAACTGTGCAATTAGTTTTAGAATTAATCTATGTTTTATGCTTCCATGTATGTGCCTAAAGATTCGGTGTGATGTTTTTGAGAAAAAAAAATTAGGAAGTAAACCGGGCCTAACCCCATCTAGGCATCTACAGAACTCTCCACCAAAACCCCCAGCCGTGTCAACGTGTCGCGGCACCAATTAATCTTGGCTCCCAACCCCACATGTGCATCCCTGCTCCAAATTAAATCCCCCAGAATTTTTCCAAAAGCAATTGCCCTTTTATCGCGTCATTCCTGATCATTGCCACGTACAGTGCAATGCAATCGATCGATCGAGATCGAATTCGATCGGAATGTCACATCTCACGTACGTACGCTAGCTCACGCTGCCAACCAACCGCGATCGATCGCCATTTAGCAAACAGCTCGCCGCCCCCGGGGTCCGGGCATCTATGGGGCCATTGCTGGTTAATTGGTGTGTGCATCTGGCACCACGCGCATGCACCGGCGGTTATATCCGGCCATGCGTGCATCCATGCATGGCACTACTACTCACCGGCCGCGGCGTCCCTACGTGCCATACGTGTAAGGAATGGGAGTAATAATATCCGACCGATCGGGTTGCTAAACGTCGTTCCATGGAGATTTTTCTCTATTTTACAGTACTTTCTCCGTTTTATATTATAAAATATTTTAATATTGCCCATATTTATATAGATGTTAGATATATATATATATATAGGTATCTAGATTTATTAAATATTTATATAAATGTGAGCAACGCTAGAATAATAGTAAAGGTACTTTAAACATGAACATGACTTATATTTTTCTACAGTTATTTAATAAGACAAAGATCAAATGTACGCACGTCCATTAAAAATCAGAGGAAGTGGCCGGCATGCGGATCCAGTGGCTGCCACCGTACTCGCATGAGTAATACTGTAAAGGATTCATATTCATTAGACTAGAGTAAATCAACAAATACTGGTGTGAGTTAGTCACATCTCTGTGTTTGATCCACTTTTATTTTTTTTAAGAAAGTCGGGACATCTTATATCTGACTTATATTATATTTAACTATTGTACGTAGGTCAATTAGGAGCGGAGGCAAACCTATGATAGCTTGGGCTTAAGCCTTAGGGTTTCCTCCATAATCAAGCTTAATTCATCTTAAATCACCATGCATTTCCTAAAAAAAATATTCTTTGTGTCCTACTTAAACCTTTAAGGCTTTGATAATTTATGTATGGTTCCACAAACTGGACCAACGGTTACTGCCAACTTTAGGATAGAGATCTGCCACGTTCAATCTCTATATTTTTTTTATTTTCTAGAGAATGCGTACTTTTTATCCAGCCTATACATCCAAATGGATATACACATTATTTTAAATTGAAAACTTATCGATTAACTCAATCTAAAATTCGATCGTATGAAGATTTAAATTTAGAATAATTTTAGAGTGCTACTCAAATCACTGCAACCAATAAACTACGTGCTCAAGCGCACGTCCAATCTCTACATACACGAGTGACACGCACCCATCGCCGGCTGCTAGTACCGTATGCCCATACACAGTACGCATACCCACACCCCACGATGGAACGCGGAATGTGTATCTTTCGCCAGGTTCAGAGTACACAAGAATTTTTAGTAGCATGACGCATCATATCCTCATAATCATCCCTGTGTGCGACTGATTGATCAATCGATCGATCTCTCGATCGCTTTTGACGACGCAACTGTTGCCGCCATCGATCGAATCGGATCGGAGATCTGATCGATCAACGCATTTGCGACTAGTGAGAGTAGCTGGCTGGCTGGCTGTGGCTGTATGACCATGTTTAGTTCCCAAAAACCTTTTCCTAAAAACATCACATCGAATCTTTAATATATGCATAGAGTATTAATATAGATAAATTAAAAAACTAATTGCACAATTAGAGGGGAAATCACGAGACGAATCTTTTGAGTCTAATTAATCCATGATTAGCCATAAGTGCTATAGTAACCCACATGTGCTAATGACGGATTAATTAGGCTCAAAAGATTCGTCTCGTGGTTTCCAGGCGAGTTATAAAATTAGTTTTTTTATTCGTGTCCGAAAACTCTTTCCGACATCCGGTCAAACGTCCTATGTGACACCTAATTTTTTTTCGTGAACTAAACAGGGCCCATATATATGCTGCTGCTGGGTGGGGGCATTAGCTAGCTGCAGTTCACGCTGCACTGAACTGAAAGCAGATAGAGATGGAGACGCAGTGCGTGTAGTTGGAAGGTAGCTAGCTCTAGCTAGATCAGCAGCTCAGCTTTGGCGTTGATCGATGATATATCGAGAGACCGATCGTTGCAGGTTTGACCGGCGGCAGAATGGAATGGAGCATCTGACATCTCTAGCTAAAAGCTACTCATGCATCATTTCTTGATCTTCAGAGAAATAGAGATATATATCAGAGGGATATAATTAACAACTTTATGGATGTTTAGGATGCACCAAATAGTCCATTATTGATCACTTTACACATGGTTATTAAGACATGCATGTACAATGGTGTGACATAGCATTATTCATGATGTATAGCAAGTGAGATAAAAGAGAGAAAGATGTGTAATCGGCAGTTTAATATAATTTATATTTTGCATATATATACTAAACTAAATCATTAGCTATATTATAGAGGGCCTGGTATATATATATGACTTGTTTATATATGGTCGACATGAAAAAGATTATATGAACATCAACCATGTGAAACCGTTGTCCATGCCCTAGTTAATTAGTAGTATAATAATCATGTTATCTAAGCTTCGGTCCAACAAAAAAGTACTTTTTGAGATACCGACATCTCACGGTACCAAATCATTTTTTATCGTTGGATTTAACAATGTCCATCCTGTCCGGTTAGATTCAACGATCGAAAATAATTTGGTGCCATGAAGTACCGGTAACTTAAGCTATTTTTTGCTGGATTTGAGCAAATCTCTCTTACTTGTTTCCTATAGATTTCTCTCTTTTCTTTCTCTAATTAATTACATTGGTGTAGGCGCGCTAATTTCGCATTGAATTGGCAGAGAGGGGGGGGGGGGGGGGGTTGAACCTAGCTATCAGACACATGCATGTCGATGAGTCGATCGATCGAGCGAGTGTGTGGCCTTTAACGACAGCCTTTTGCATAAATGCCTCTGAATTTATTCAGCTAGCGCTACTGTACTGCATGCTGCGTTCGAGCAAATTAAGCTAGCTGCAGCTAGCTTCGTCTGCTGCTTAGCTTCCACCTACCGCCACCTGCTTTGCCGCCGGCGGCCGGCCGGCCTCGCCGCAGCGGGTAATGCGGCTTTCGCCGGCCGGCCGGCCGCCGTGGAATGCTGCGTTGATCCGGCGAGATCGATCGATCGATGAGAGGCAGGCAGCGAGGCATGGGGTGTTCGTCGTCGTCGTCGTCTGAATATGTGCATAGTGCGTATCGCTGCTTCTGAATTCTGATCAGCTCGGTGGCGTACGTTA